AAATCCTGGATCCGCCCCTGTCGAAGACGCAATTATCACAGACGAAAGAGTACAGGTCACATATGTTTTTTAAGGTAAGAGATCACACATGCGTCACAGTGAAGTGTCATACAGTACACGATTTTAAGGTTTTCGTGAAATCCTGTCAGTTAAATGTGAACCCTCTGATATATTTCATGTGAATATATATTTTTTTCCATTCTGATACTAGCATGTACGTGGAAAGTACGTGGCTAGTTTCTGAAATGAACATATTTTACAGAAAATAAAAGATTTTAGAATACAAAGGAGCCCAGAGACTTTCTTCAGAAACTGTGCTAATCTAGACTTGCCACACATTCTAGACTTGCCACACATTCTAGACTTGCATGGGCTGCATTGGGAATATTCAGGGTCTGTATGACAGACCAGTGGAAAGTGAGTGAGTGTGGTTGCTTTCCACAATGTTCCAGCAATATCACCTTGGAGGACACCTGTTATGGTATTCACACATTGTACCCATGTGGGGAATCGAACCTGTGTCTCCGGCGTGATCGAACACTCTAACCACTAGGCTACCCAGAGCCCCTGTACATGGAAAGTCAAGGGCACGGTAAATTGTATTTTAGGTTATAGACATGTAGAAATCAGACATGAATTCTAGCACGGAAGTTTGACCGATGACCTGGATTCAGATGAAACCAACTTTAGCTTACGCTTTATCAAAGATAGCAAACATTTTGACTTGGCTGGGAATATGTGAATAAATCATAAAATATTATCAATACATCTTCTTGAAGAAGACTTGACAGTATCAATAGACTCTAGACGAAAGTGACGAATGAGTAGCCTCATAAATCAAGCTATAAAACAGTCTCCGCTGAAATCAATGTACACGTGAAATACATCACTGAAACTGACATTTATTGTGACGGCTGAACGTTTACAAGGTTTCTGTTGGTGTAAAGATACAAATTGAAACCGGGGAAGGTCACTTGTAATGGGTGTTGTACGTTTGTCGGTTGAAGCTGTTCCAGATAAACTTATGTAAATGCATCCTTATATCGTTGGGATGTACCGTGTGTGTTATCAGAAGGGGGAAGATACATTTCTCGTTCATGATGTGTGGGACATTAAAATAGTCAAGAATACAATTCATCCCAGGGTGGGTGTTGATTTTAACCAGTTTATGCTTCTGAACATACTACAACAAAATACTCGGGCGATATGAAATCTTAACCTGTAATTTTACGTTATGGGTCGGTGGGGAAGAAACGGGTTCGATTCCGACATGTTTACAATGTGTGAACTCCATTTTGGTGTTGCTCGTCGTGGTGTTAATATTGCTAAAAGCGGCGTAAAGCCTAACTCACTCACTCATACTTATCCTGAAACACTACATTGAGTCTCTTGGACCAAGAAGCTGTGATAAATTATGAAGGATTTTGCTAGGACCGATATGTTATATCGAGACAACCGAGATATCGAGTTATCTGAGTTCGACACAACAGTGGTCGACTGTATACGGTAAATGACAGCTAATGCTGTAATTCTGAACTCTCCACAGCACACAAACCAGTGCTTCATCCAGTAAAACATTAGGACAAGTGCGCTTATCCCCCCCCCCCCCTGATGTTTTATGTGTGTCTGCTGACGTAGTTGTATGTAGTTTTTTGGCTGTACATTTTGACGGTATTTTTAGATTTAATGAATGATGTACTAACAACTCCCAGCACCGGGGAAAGTTAAGTTAGCGCTAGGAGCGTTAGTCATGAGGGGAGATGGTAATTATTGTCGTACAGTTAGGTCAAAGCGGACCAGGGTCCGTGGGATAGCCTAGTGGTTAAAGCGTTCGCTCGTCACGCCGAAGATCCGGGTTCGATTCCCCACATTTGTACAATGTTTGAAGCCCATTTCTGGTCTCCTCCGCCGTGATATTGTTGGAATATTGCTAAAAGTGGAGCAAAACCAAAATCATTCACTTACTCACTCACTCACTCGCTCACTCACTCTCATTGGACTAGCACCATACAACCGGATTTAGTCCAGGATAGTAAAAGTTATCACACAAACGCACACACACACACGCACACACCATAGCGCGTATGGGCGGCGCTACATTTGTCCGATAATACTGAACGCGGCGCTGAGCCCAATTTCATTACGAGTGTAGTGAAACTGAGGTCTGACTACTGCTCTCGACAACTAAACCAACATAGGCTGAAATTTCACCTACTTCTCCAACGTTAGTACTGCATAATGTTTTACAGACATGATAAAACAATGATAAATAGCGATAGAAGAAAGGCCACATTCAATGAAGCTCTGCAAGTATTACAGACATATATTCCATCAGTCTAGTCGTGGACAACTGGGTCAATGATCACAAGAATATACATAACGACTCATCTGTATCTATAACTGATAACGAATATTACTGTTTTCAAGTTTGGAAAACTAATACACGTTACCTATGTTCTTCACATATATGAACACGTTAGAAGAAAAAATAATTTGTAGAAAGCTGGCCAAATAGGCTTGTGAATTAGAAAGCCTATAGTCTCCTTGCCATGTGTATGTTGACAGGAGTTTCCTTAGCAGACGATTCTTTACAGCAACAAGTTCACACGAGTTATCTCCCTTGAACCTAACTGGTCAAGCTCATTCTTCGCCGCCATATAAACTACGTTTAATTATTTCTAATCATTACATTGAAAAGGAAAATTGGAAAATTATATACAACATGGTGTCGCTTACGATGAGGAAATTGTGTTTAATAACGGGAGGTTTTATGTGAGAAAAAGCAACACCAAAGTCTAATTTACTATCGAAGGTTTTCAGAAACCCATGCTTACTGTAATAGCCTATAATGCAGATGGAGGGTTACAATGGGTTACTGTATATCATCACAGCCTAGGTTGTTGTTCATACTGTCAATCACTGGACTGCCTTAACTATACTCAACTAATCACAGAACACTTGTTATAGCTTTAATAGTGCTTACTGCAGCGTAAAACATCATCTCCCTCATCGTCCTTAATCGTCCATTACTGTCACGACTGATAAGTAGGTACACCAGCTGACTGGGCAAGTTGCAGACACCTGGGTAACAAACACATGATGTATAATGACAGTGGTGACTCAGGGGTGTCAATCAGGTCGCGCTCTTACCGAGAATGGCTTGTTAGTTTGTTAAATATCATTACCCGGAAACTGGTTGAAATAATCATAGGCTGAGGTCCCCATAAAGTTTCGGTACATCCCTCCCTGACCACCGCCCGTAACCACGTCATTATTTCAAACACTGTCACAGTTTCTCAGCTGTCGTTTTAAAATCAGCTGCGGTAGTTTTACATTTAACCTATAACGATATATCATTCGCGGATCACACAAGTCCCCACTGTCTAGTCCATATATTATTGTGATAATTTCCATACTTACACCCCTGTAGGTTTCACGGATGACAAAACTCACCACTGTCTAGTACATATATTCTTGTGATAATTTCCATACTTACACCCCTGTAGGCTTCACGGATGACAAAACTCACCACTGTCTAGTACATATATTCTTGTGATAATTTCCATACTTACACCCCTGTAGGCTTCACGGATGACAAAACTCACCACTGTCTAGTACATATATTCTTGTGATAATTTCCATACTTACGCCCCTGTAGGCTTCACGGATGAAAAAACTCACCACTGTCTAGTACATAAATTCTTGTGCTAATTTCCATGCTTACCCCTGTGTACTTACACCCCTGTATGCATATTCACGGATGACAAAACTCACCACTGTCTAGTACATATATTCTTGTGCTAATTTCCATACTTACACCCTGTAGGCTTCACGGATGACACAACTCACCACTGTCTAGTACATATATTCTTGTGATAATTTCCATACTTACGCCCCTGTAGGTTTCACGGATGACACAAGTCACCACTGTCTAGTGCATATATTCTTGTGGTAATTTCCATACTTACACCCCTGTAGGCTTCACGGATGACACAAGTTCCCATTACCCCATGTCTATCCCTTGTTATGATTCAAGCATATGAAGAGCACCTTACTCTCTCCTTCTGTCTAACATGGATAGAATAGCGCCCCTCCTTGGACACCTGGGGGTACTCATGCGGAGAAAAGAATCAAAAGCGACTAAAATAACGACTGGTCGGTTACAGTTTATGTCATTGTTCTCAACGGCGTTGATCGTTCCCGTTTAACGGCGGCCACACCACCATGAGTTTTGATTTCCGAGAAACGAAGCAGTCACACTCTCACTCGCTTACAGTGAGATTTCCCTCACGTGGATTCCCATAGAATGTGCTCAGCATCTAGTCAGCTATAGATCTGTTCAATAGGGCTCATTGATGACTGAAATTCAGGGGTACAATATCTCCTCATTTGAGGTTGAACAAGTACATCATGTCATGCAGCACACACCCCAGTGTCCAGAATAATACTACCTCTTGCAATGTCAGCAGAGGATGTCTCATTCTGAACAATGTCGTTACCGTGCACGACCTTAGTTAAACAAGAATTAACAGTACCGAAAACACCATATGATATTTTTCAACAATTGAGGTTGAACCATTTCCTGAACACCAGCTCGAGCATCGCTGAGTCGTGTAGATGAAAGCTGTATAAATATTTGCAAAGGGACAAAATTAAATTTGAAAATATTTACATAAAATTGAACCATAGGGACATTCAGTTTGCGTTTTTCACGCGATAATGTCTAACAACATAAACGGACGAATGACACTCGACGGTCGTCCTCTTAGCATCACGTTTAGGCGCCCATTTCAGTGAAAGGGTGTACATCGTCCAGTACACTATCTAGTTTGATTCAGAACGACACAATATTTATCTCACATGATACAGCAGAGACGTCTTAATAGTCGCTCAAAATACTTGTGCTGAAAAGAAGATTTTCTCTTCGTCACCATCTCATTGTGCAAGTTCAGGTTGGTTGAAAATATGTACATGATAAACAGCGGCTAACCAGAGCGTGACAAGGAGCAGAGGTGTGCAGGGGGTATTATTATCCCGTCAACCACCCGGGTCACGGGAAAGACAGACGAGTCTGTGTATCCACGAAGAGGACCTGTGGCCCATTTCATACAACGTTCATTTGCCAAAACAATGTGTGATTATCTCCCTTTGTCGGTGGATGACAAGTGCTGCTGTCGCTTAGATAGGACTGCGGTGTACCCAGGTAAGAAATTCAATGTACAGCTAATGAATATGGGCGTGAGTATGGATGGGGGGTTTATCGGCGATATCATGTGTCATAGTCACCTGTCGATAGACATGGCAGGTTGACATAGCTCAATGGATGAGGATTCGGTTTCTGGATCTTAAACTCGCTGTCTTTTGCCAGATAACCATGTTGTATTTTATCACTAGGTTGGTATATTTCATCGGCTATTTCAAATGAGTGCAATCTGAAGCCTTTATGTACGCTGAAAGCTTCACGGTCGGTAAATTTTAAATGTAACTTGAACAGTCCCTTTTGTCAACATAGTGATGTCATACCTCGATTTCCAACCATTTGTAAATATTCATCAATGGTATTTTCTATATCATTCTAGTTAAGAGTATGCCATAACTAATGGATTGACCTTTTAATTACCATACGAAATTAATTATTCTGTATATTCTGTAGTTTTTTCTTGAAATTAATTTAATATCTAAACATTTTCTCTAAAAAGTCTCTTAAATTTTCCCTTTTTGCGATAAGTTAAAAGAGCAACACGTGTAAGCATGTCTAATGTAACTATTATTTGATTACCTATTTTTAATGCAGCTTACCAATGTTAAGAAATGTTACAGAATGCAGAAAAGTATCTTTGAGTATAATAGTAAAATTCATTATGATTAAACCAAACATCACAACTTAATATATCCAAGCGACTGAGGTGATATGTTATAAGGTGGTCTTGAACAATAATACTAGTTATTTAACAATGATACAGTAATAACAGTTTGGGCACACTGTGACGAAGCGAAGAATGGCACCCAGGGGATCACTGTGACCAGTGTGGCATTCGGTCTGACAAGTGTGTCATGTCGGTACATGCAGAATATCATGTAACTTATATCATCACTTACAGATCTACTTCAGCGTGAGTGAGTGAGTTTAGTTTTACGCTGCACTCAGCAATATTCCAGCTATATGGCTGCGATCTGTAAATAATCGAGTCTGGACCTGACAATCCAGTGATCAACAGCATGAGCATCGATCTGCGCAATTGGGAACCGATGACATGTGTCAACCAAGTCAGCGAGCCTGACCACCCGATCCCGTTAGTCGCCTCTTACGACAAGCATGGGTTACTTAAGGTTCATTCTAACCCGGACCTTCACGGGCTCCACTTCAGCAATCCATGACTGTCGTAAGATCAGTTGGCCATTGTATCCAAGATGCGATCGATGCTAATTATGTCAATCACTGAGTTGCGTTGTCCAGACTCGGTTATGTGCAGACCACCGTCATACAACTGGGATATTGAGTGTGGAGTTAACAAAACAAAACAAACAAATTGCAATCAATACTCTTAATAGCTATTTACGTTTTCAGGTGCCTAACCAGCAGCGAATGATGTAAAACAAAATGGAGGATATCAAACTACCTACCAAAGCTCCAGTTTCCTCACGAAGCAAGACATTAGGGAGACTGAATGCAGTGAAGGGAGGTAAGCAGCCCCAAGCTAACCGCCAGACATGGCACGGCGGTCAACCCAAGGCTGCACCCCTTCAAGTACCACTCCCAGTCCCGAAACCAAACCTGACCTGGGAGCCGGGGATGTTCAACCTGGATTACATCATCAGGAACCTGTACCTGCCCAGGGTGGTGATGTGCGACCACACCTTCTGCGACCTGGGAAGGGGGGACTATGGGGTTTGATTGTGGGCAGCTGCTGATGCTGCACAGTAAGAAGGATGGGTTGAAGGTGGCTGCTGGTAGTCTGGCTGTGGACTCTCGCGATGGCAAGACTCTGCTGGAAACGGACAACAGCCTGCTTATTCCTGAGGATTACAAAGGTGGGTAAAATGGATAAACATGCATGAAAGTGCATGTTTATTATGTTGAACTGCAGACTGAGTTTTATCCAATATGTGAAGTGCTCAGCAAAATCATAAACATAGCTGTCTTAGAATTTTGTCAAATTGAGAAAACAATGAGGTTGACACAAATTCGAAACGAGGATGGAATATTTTACAAACCTCGTTGCACCACACTCTCGGTTTTGAAATCCCGCTTTCTGGACCACATTGTTCCGAACGTCTTCATACAAATTGGAAGGATTAAAGTCCGTAATAATTATTTGTTCATCTGAAAATAACGCGTTTGCCCACATAAATAAGAGACTTCGACCAAGGCATATTAAACAACGAAAATAAGGACCTGTCCCTAAACACACAGTTGTATGTTATTAGGATGAGAAAGCCACAATAACTCGGTGCGCCTAGTGGCTGCAAGAGTTGTATACTCCAGGGAGTTGAGATTGATAATGCGATGTGCCGTTGAGATTGACATCCAATGATCGAGGGAAAAAAAATACCAGCGCCTTGAGCATGCACTAGTGAGTGGATATGTGCGCTATATAAATATCCAATAATAATAATAATAATAATAATGTCAGGTTCATATTGTTTTTATTTTCACCAATAGGTTGGTTTGCAGTTCTTGGATCCGAACTGTCACTGAAAGCTATCCCCCACTTCCGGAATGTGGGTCAACTGGCGATGTCTGATTGTCAGGCGTTTCTGATCGGTGGTAAACAAAATGTGCAGTCTGTACAGAAAGCTGGCGATACCGTGACCGCCTCAAGGCACCTCTGTCCGGGAGATGTTCTGAAAATGGGAGTCCTTGACGGAGCTCAGGAGTATTTACACTGCGTGGATGACAATGATCGGGAAGTTCTGCTTTCCGTGGATACCGAAGGAACCTTCTACGTCTGTAACAATAAAACTAGACCCAACAAGACCCCAGTTATGCAAATAAAGGACGTCCTATTGAAGCATAAATTCCCCTGTGTTGTGAAACTTGTGTATGGTAGAGAGCCTTCAGGACAAGGTGTATTCACCAAGATCATGGTTCTGGAGAATGTGCAACAACATCACTCTCTTCTCGCGTCAACTCTTCTTAAACACAGCAATACCCTGCATGAACTTTCAGTGGATATCCCTAACAAATTTCGTGTTGCTGTTCAGAGCAAGGAGCTGTGCCAGAATCCTGGATACATCAGCGCTTTAAATCTGTTCCAGGACAAAGGTGATATGTTCATGAGAGGAATCAAGATGTTCCGTCAGGCAGAGAGTCCCATAGAAGAAAAGGTTACAGCGATTGGAATCTCCTTCGCGTCTCCGGCAGTGAATGCTGTTCCTGTTCCAAATAACACTCCAACAAAAACACACGCAACTCCTCCTTTACCAGTTGTAGCAGTGACTGCTGTTGAAAGTAAGTCAAGTCCTACTACACCACTGAGGCAACCGGAACTCAAACAAGGGAAGGCAAAGACGGTCAGTGATGGAAAACGAGTTCAAGTTTCCACTAAAGGCAAGCCACAGAAAGAAGTAGAACCAACACCGGTGTCAAAAGTCTCCCCTCAACTACAGCATAAACTAATTCAGAATCCCAGAAGATCCTCAATTGACAATCGGCCAAGAATGCCAGAGCCGACCATACCAAAAGAACCTAAAGTAGATGCAACAAAAGCCGTAAATGGATCTCGCATATTAGTGGATGTTGCAGGCCCTAATGTGATTGAGAACAACGTTGGATCTGTTCCAAAACAAAATGGTGTTATAAGAAACGACACACTAAATAGTGTTCCTTCAGAAATTACACAGCCATCTAATGGAGACGTGAAGATCCAGCCACCAAAGCCAGCCACAGTTACTTCACATGTAGCTGACACAAAGAAAGCTAGATCTCCTCGCCCAAATGCATATGAAGAAGTATGGACAGCAACATCTGGGAAAGATGACGACAGTTCCTCCACCAGCAGCATGAGCGATACACACGTCTATCTGGACCAAGGAATCGGTGGGCAGGTTGTCACTGGTGGAGTCCCGATACCAACCCAAACCAGTGATTTGAAACAAAAGGAAAACCCCCAACCAGAATCCAAGATTGATAAGAGACAAGCTAGACAATCAGCAGCATTGTACTCCACCATAGCCATCGTAGGAGGGAACCCTGAAATTACTGAGGACAGCCAGCCAGCCACTCCTACAGAAGACCCTAAGAAGCTTAAAAAGAAAACGGTATCTTTCTCAGACGTTTTAGATGTACATTCATTTACTAAGCCTCATGTCACAACAATAAATGTGAACGAAAAGAAGGATACACACATCGACGAACTGCGTGACTTCAGTGATGGATTCGATTCACTGTACATCCCTGACTTTGATCCACCGGAAGATACATTTGACTCTGGAGGAAGCCTCACCTCAAGTTCAGCTTCAGGATCGAGTTCAGATGGAGCTGCTGGTAGAATTGGGGAATCTTTCACGGTTGACTCCAGTTCCAGTGAAGATGACAACGGATACATGAAGCCTGTGTTGGACAGGAAGGGGCGAGTTAAGTTGGAGAGAGACATTCACAAGGCGCAAACAGGTCCACCCAGTGCTCACGAGGACCTCGCCAAAAGGATTTCGTTACCCAGTATGAAAATTGTTGGGCGTGCTGATAAGTCTGAAATGGAGGATAGATTCTCAGCTGCTGAATCAGATATTCTGTGGTGATACTGTCAGATCTGTGATGCCATTTGACTGTCTTGATGGGTTCATATTCGATGGAACATATGCAGCAATTCCATGGTGATGCATATCAGTTTTGTGATGCCATGATGGATGCCATGACGACGTCTCCATATTCAGTGGAACCTCAGTTGAACACATGTTGTGATCTCTTATCGTTTATTTCGAGACAAGAGGTTACATGACAATGTGCAGTGGGTATACTTCGAGATTGGGAACAGTTCGGTATAACGAGACACGACTAATTGACTCATTATTTTATTGTATTTTTATTGACAAACTGTATACAGTATATCGTTATTTACACTTAACGTTACCATGTATACCTAATGATACTAAAACATTGTTTTGTTTACAACACTACCAATGATATAAGGGTAATGCTATTTTTGAGGGCATTATCATTTGCAGAAGCCCGAGGTTTTCCATTAGCTGCCCGACGGAGGAGGGCAGTTGAAAAAGACCGAAGGCTTCTGCAAATGATAATGCCCTCAAAAATAGCATTACAGTTATTATTGCTAAAATACATGGAATTTGTGTTGAAAGGAAAAAGGAAACAATGAAGGAATTTGATTGTAAGTTTACCCAAATCAACTTCTGACGGGGTTGACTGCCCGAATGCAATTACGTCATCGAACAATTCAAGTGACGTCACAACAGAAAGTGACGATATTCGACCTTGGCCTTTGACAAGACCATAGCCTGCAACATGTCAAACTATGTCAGTGTTCGGTTTTGGTCCATCAACAGCCTTAATAGTGCAATTGGGGCGGTGGGGTAGCCTAATGGTTAAAGCGTTGGCTCGTCACGCCGAAGACCCGGGTTCGAATCCCCACATGGGTACAATGTGTGAAGCCCATTTCTGGTGTCCCCCGCCGTGATGTTGCTGGAATATTGCTAAAAGCGGCGTAAAACCAAACTCAGTCAGTCAGTAATAGTGCAATTGTTAAGGTTAGCACCAACAAGAAAGCCAATATTACCGCTATTAAAAGCAGGAATTCGGGTTGCTTTGATTTGTTTGACCCAGAATATCTGCCAGTCGAAAGCCAATTAAGGTCGAATGAACCGTAAGCCCACGCACCCACTATGACGTCATTTGACAACAGAACTGATAGTGGCCCGTCGTTAAGGTTGAGCGGTCCAATATCATTTGCAGCGGCCCGCAAATTTCTGTTAATGGGAGGGCCGTTTCATGATAATTCCATATATTTTAGCTATAATACCTGTTTGTACCTGTTTGTACACCTAGGGAGTAACGTTCCAATATAGCACCGTGCAATATTATGTGTTGTGTGGAAATTACATTCAAGACAATAATGCTTCACATTACATATCAGTTCTGTTAATTGTGAACAGATAATACAAATGTCTCAGTATGATGATAAATGATGAATGTATAAAGTAAATAAACTTTTTTATGGTATGTTTACAAATCGTACTGAGTTTGGAGGATACACGATAAAGGATACACAATTCTGAAGGTAGTCCTGTAGATAGTCGGTTCGCTCAACACTATGAAGCCCGGGTTATCATTGATGCAGTGTGTGAAGCTTTTATTTTCCGGATGATTCTGTTCAACATTGGTGGCGAGGTGCGGTTGAAGTGTACTGAACGATACGTACAGGGTTGTGTATGGGGAGGATGGGTGTTGCGGGTGGGGTTTAGGGGTGGAGGGGAGAAGCTGCTTACACTGTCCCAGTGTACAGTGCTGATTCACTGAGATACCGTGCCGCAGTTTAACATAGTGTAATTGGTTTATTGAATCAGAGTCGACCATTCCTTGCCAGTCAAGGTAACTGCAAGTACCATATTTTAACGCATGTTGATACGGCACAGCCGGGGATCGAAACGATAGCCAGTCGCTCCCCAGACGTTCGGAGGCAGTACAGACTAACAAACAATATTTCGCTAACCTATTTGTCTATCTAGGGATTTTAGTACCGTCTTAATTAACGGGATCCACTGATGAGGTGCTTGAATCATTGGTATTCATTGGTAAACTATACAATCTGTTTATTTGATTTACCCTCGACCGAAACTACCTTTATAACGCAGATGCGAATGAGAGATATTAACTGTTTTTAGCCTGGTTGTATATTTTAGTGAAATGCGTATAACGAAGTAGTCTCTTTGAGTTCGTTATAACCGTAGTCTATTGTTTCGGTCGTGGGTAAATCAAATAAGCAGATTATCTAATTTTACATATTCTTAGCTATTAACAACTCTGATGCAGCAACTCTATGCAGCATTATGACAGCCCAAGCACCCAGTCAACATTCCACCCGATGACTAAGTTACAGGTATAGTATCTGTACGTCGCAACTCGGTAATCAGGGTGTTCGGTTCACTGATGGGGTTAAAGAGGTAGAGTCTCTGAAAAATGTTGTGTTGGAGAACTAGACAAACAGGCTGAAATCTGGCTGAAACAGAACTGTGTGTGATGTTACATAACAAAGAAAAACATTGTGCTGAAGTACTAATTAGTTTAAAACAAATCATAAAAATACAAATAATGTGTGCACATATGTTCAATGTGAACGGGTGATGATTACACATTGAAAACGTGGCCCGTTAAAGCATGACGCTTCGTTTGGTTACAGTTGAACAGGAGTTATGCCCCTTGGATTGTTTTCCGGTCACTGCCTGCCAGACGAACCACCAATCTGTCTTATCCTTTAGGTGTACAGGGCGAGTCTAGTTCCTTAGTGCCTCATGTTTACTCCTCTTTATTTCGAGATTATAACCCGACACACGATATATGTATCCCTGTGGGTACTCCAATGTGACCAGTTCCAAGGACCCAATCTATAGCTCTCCATCACCGCCCATATCCATCATCTAGCCAGTACCAGATTCCTGGCACCTGCGTATTCAGGAACTTGTGGGTGTTTCAAGACATACACGGCCTCGTCCTACAGATGTCCCCACCTGTCCCGAGTATTCGGTACGAGATGCACGCTGCCCTAGATGTACATATTTCCAATAACATATGATTATCACCCATGATTATTCCAGACTAGGAAAGTAGTGCCTTTATCTGGTATACAGAACCCAATACCATTGCCCCATGATTATTTCGAGGAAGGCCAGGATCCCAGTACTCCATACAAGTCATCATGTGAGTTATACCGTGACAGACATGCTCCTGTATATCCATTTATATCCCCTGTACCGCATACCTACCACCAGGTTGTTATATCCCTATAATCCATACCTACCACCCAGTTGTTATATCCTTAGTACCCCATACCTACCACCCAGTTGTTATATCACTATAATCCATACCTACCACCCAGTTGTTATATCCCCAGTACCCCATACCTACCACCAAGTTGTTATATCCCTATCCCCCATACCTACCACCCAGTTGTTACATCCCTATAATCCATACCTACCACCAAGTTGTTATATCCCAAGTCCCCAATACCTACCACCCAGTTGTTATATCCCTATAATCCATACCTACCACCCAGTTGTTATATCCCTAGTCCCCATACCTACCACAAAGTTGTTATATCCCCAGTCCCATATACCTACCACCTAAGTTGTTATATCCCTATAATCCATACCTACCACCAAGTTGTTATATCCCAAGTCCCCATACCTACCACCCAGTTGTTATATCCCTCTAATCCATACCTACCACCCAGTTGTTATATCCCAAGTCCTCAATACCTACCACCCAGTTGTTATATCCAGTAATCCATACCTACCACCCAGTTGTTTGTTATATCCCCAGTATAATCCATACCTACCACCACCAAGTTGTTATATCTCCAGTCCCCCATACCTACCACCCAGTTGTTATATCCCTATAATCCATACCTACCACCAAGTTGTTATATCCCCAGTCCCCAATACCTACCACCCAGTTGTTACATCCCTATAATCCATACCTACCACCAAGTTGTTATATCCCCAGTCCCCCACGCCTACCACCCTGTTGTTATATCCCAATACCCCACACCTACCACCCAGTTGTTATATCCTTGTACCCCACACCTACCACTCAGTTGATATTATCCCCAGTCCCCCATACCTACCACCCAGTTGTTATATCCCTGTACCCAACACCTACCACCCAGTTGTTATATCCCTGTACCCCATACCTACAACCCAGGTGTTATATCCCTATAATCCATACCTACCACCCAGTTGTTATATCCCCAGTACCCCAAACCTACCACCCAGTTGTTATATCCCTATAATCCATACCTACCACCCAGTTATTATATCCCCAGTACCCCATACCTACCACCCAGTTGTTAAATCCCTATAATCTATACCTACCACCCAGTTGTTACATCCCTATAATCCCTACCACCAAGTTGTTATATCCCCAGTCCCCCATACCTACCACCCAGTTGTTATATCCCTATAATCCATACCTACCACCCAGTTGTTATATCCCTATAATCCATACCTACCACCAAGTTGTTATATCCCTAGTACCCCATACCTACCACCAAGTTGTTTTATCCCTATAATCCATACCTACCACCCAGTTGTTATATCCCCAGTACCCCATACCTACCACCAAGTTGTTATATCCCTACCGCCCAGTTGTTATATCCCAGTACCATACCTACCACCAAGTTGTTATATCCCTATAATCCATACCTACCACCAAGTTGTTATATCCCCAGTACCCCATACCTACCACCCAGTTGTTATATCCCTATAATCCATACCTACCACCAAGTTGTTATATGCCCAGTACCCCATACCTACCACCCAGTTGTTTTATCATTATAATCCATACCTACCGCCCAGTTGTTATATCCCCAGTACCCCATACCTACCACCAAGTTGTTTTATCATTATAATCCATACCTACCGCCCAGTTGTTATATCCCCAGTCCCCCATACCTACCACCAAGTTGTAATATCACTGTAGCCAACCACCAGTTATGCCCCCAATACCCTATACCTACCACCTAGTTGATATATCACTATACCCCACACCTACCACCCTGTTGGTATATCCCCAGTAGCCCATACCTACCATCCAGTTGTTATATCCCTGTACCCCACACCTACCACCCAGTTGATATATCCCCAGTAGCCCATACCTAACACCCAGTTGTTATATCCTCAGTTGCCCACACCTACCACCCTGTTGTTATATCCCAATACCCCACACCTACCACCCAGTTGTTATATCCCTGTACCCCACACCTACCACCCAGTTGATATTATCCCCAGTCCCCCATACCTACCACCCAGTTGTTATATCCCTGTACCCCATACCTACCACCCAGTTGCTATATCCCTATAATCCATACCTACCACCCAGTTGTTATATCCCCAGCACCCCATACCTACCAACCAGTTGTTATATCCCTATAATCCATACCTACCACCCAGTTATTATATCCCCAGTACCCCATACCTACGACCCAGTAGTTAAATCCCTATAATCCATACCTACCACAAAGTTGTTACATCCCTATAATCCATACCTACCACCAAGTTGTTATAT